CTACAAGGATCCTGCTGCAGGGTAATGACAAGCGCACAGTGTACACGTGTGCGCATGTGCATACACACACACACGGAGCAAAGTAAAAAATGTTATAAAAGAAACGTGGGAAATAGAATAGAATGATCATGTACATACCTGGGATAAGTACATTTGAGGTCCAGTGCAGAGATAAGAATATAAAATGGTTATCAACTCGCGTCCCGTTTTACGTGCTCATCTCAGTTGGTATATGTGTCCACTTGTAGGTGGTTCCTCCCTACTGGCCCCTTTTTTCCCACCATGCACTCCTGATCTGACAGAGATATTGTGTTCAGGTGGCAGGTCAGCATGGGCCTGAGGGGTGGGAACCCTGGGGTCTGCTCCCAGTTGTTGGTTTCCAGGACAACGCCTCCTGTTGGTTTCCTTCTAGCTCACTGACAGCCCCTTGGTCTCGTTTGCTGGTTCCTCTTCCTCCTGAACTTGAATGTAAATTGCAGAGTACTGTGAAGGACGTGATCTTGGTCATGCTTCCCTTCATAGTCCACATTCTGTCTCTCTAGGAGACTTTAGTGCCATGGGTTTAAATATGTCTAAATATTTTTAATTCATAAATCATAAATTTCCCTACCACGCTCCAGACCTGAATAAACAATCGCCTCCTTGACTTCTTCATCTGCATGTCTAAATTTGCTTCTCCAGTTTAATATGTCTAAAAACAGGGCTTCATTGATCCCAACTAGTTAACCCCTCATCTCCCTTGTCTCAATAAATGGCGTTGCCAACCCACCTAGTTGCTCAAACCCCAAACCTGGTATCCATTGTTTATTTTGTGTGTCCTTTTCACCACCAATTCTGGATGACTCCATCTCGCAAACACCCCTCCTCAATCTCCCACCTCCCCCCCGACTCTCTCTAGTTACCCCCCATCCCCTGCCTCCCCCCACTCTCTCTAGTCACCCCCCCAATCCCCTACCTCTCCCCACTCTCTCTAGTCACTCCACTTTTCCTCTAGTCCAAGTCACCATCATCCTTTCCCCAGACTACTGCAATTTCCTTGTCTTTCTACTTTTTCTTTTGCCCCTTTGTAATTCATTTTCCTCACAGCCTCTATGGAAATCAGCAAGTCCCTCCTTTTCTGGAGAACCATCATTGGCTTCACATCCATCGCCCTGAAGATAAAACCTGAACACCTCACCTTGCAAGATCTTACCCCTTTTCCTTCTTCAACCTCATCTTGTACATCTCTCCCGATTGCCCATTCTTCTCCCAGCTCATAGCCTTCTTTTCCTCCTTGAACACTTAGGACCTGTCTAGCTCAGGGCTTTTGCCCCTGTCTGCCCAGAATTCTCTTCTCTTGCTTTTAGCATGACTGGTCATTCTCATCTTTGAATTCTCAGTTGACATAATACTTCTTTATAGGGAACTTTCTCAACCAGCCTCTTCAAAGTCGAATCTCAGGGTTCATTTCTGACATAGCATCCTACTTATTTTTTGAGAAGCATTTACTACAATATGTAAATATCTTCTTTATTGTTTACCGTTAAAATTTTCTATCCAGAATGTAATGTATTTTTTTTTAAGATTTAATTTTTCCTTTTTCTCCCCAAAGCCTCCTGGTACATAGTTGTGTATTTTTAGTTGTGGGTCCTTCTAGTTGTGGCATATGGGGCACTGCCTCAGCATGGCCTGATGAGTGGTGCCATGTCCGCGCCCACGCTCCAAACTGGCGAAACCCTGGGCAGCTGAAGAGGAGTGCGCGAACTTAACCACTCGGCCACGGGGCCGGCCCCTAGAATGTAATGCATTTATTGCATGAAAATGTGAGCTCCTAGGAGCAGATACTTTGTCTAGGTCACTTTTAAATCCTCAGCACCTGGCACCATGATCGGCACCAAATAAATAATTGTTTCTCAATAAATAGCTTCTCAATAAATGTTTGTTAAATAAATGAATGACCCCTATCATCACTGCAAATATCTGAATTTAGATGCAACAAGAAAAATCTATGCTGGCATGAAATTGGTGCTCAGCGAGTGTTGGGGAAGTGTTCACCTGTCACTGGAAGCAGGGTTCCAGTCTATGGATGGCATTGTTTCTCTTGTTGTCCTTCACCTGGGAGCTGGCACTTCTAAAGGTGTGATTCAGTCACCCTTAATATATACTTGAGAAGAATGATCCAGGCGTAGGGCTTTTCTAAAGTTAAGAAATGTCTCTTTCACAAAAGAACTAAAAACAGAACTCTGATTCATGAATTTGCTAACGGCTTTTTCCCCCAGGGGAACCTCCCCATGCACAATGAAAGCTCTCTTGGGTCACAGCCTTATGTCTGATGTGAGGGTAGCCATGGAACATCAGCTCTGCCAGTAGCTTGGCAGGCTGAACCCAAGGGGTACTCAAATGGTGGTTCCCCCCACCATATGAGACTGCACCTTTCCAGCAGAATATAGCTTCCTTCCCATCCTTCTCCAAGGTTTGTTTTGAGGAGTTACTGACCTCATTGACAACCTCATGGATAAAAATGGCAACGATGAAAACAAACATGCAAATGAATAATTCATTATAAATTCTGAAAACAAAGACAAAAAAAAATCACCAGTAAATCAATTTACAGCCCAGAAAATAATTGCAGATAATTGAACAAGGGTAAAGAGTGTCATCTATATTGTATTTGTTGTTGCTTTCCTTTAAAAATTTTTTTGAATGGAGCAATTTGCTAGCATGAAGTCTAAATCACTTAATTACATAGCCTGTAAATAGGAAAACTATCAACTGGGTGACTTGGTACACTTACTCTCTCGCCTTTCACTGAAACATGCAAGGCGAGAGGAGGGAGTGGAAACTAACAGTACAAGCATGGAAAGGAAGCAGAAACCATTGCCTGGCAGGCCTGGTGAGGGGCAAGTCTAGAGAATGAAGATGCAGTGAGATGCGAGCCTCTCCAACCCACTCACCACCTGACCTCTTCTCTACAGGTCCAGGAGCCTTAGCTCCCTACTTGCCTCATCCCTCTGGGAGCCAACCAGTGTGGTTTTAAAACACTGTGCAATACAAAGAACTCTAACATGTGTCTTGTGGTTTGAGAGTAGTTTTATGTATCATTCCCATCACTATCATCAATGAACTCTTACTAATGATCTAGCATGCACAAGAAGCTACACAAAAACACCTTGTAGTTGTCAGCCAATTAATTTTGGCTATAGCCACCCAAAAAGGGGGAAACTGAGGCACAAAGAAGCAAATGCCAATTCTACCTGGAAGTGGCAGTCTGAAAAGATGAGACCAATCTCCCTCACCAGACCCCAGCCTGTCTGATCTAGAGACAAAAGATGACATGGTCTCTGGCAGAAATGGATGGAAAACCAGTCTTCCCTTCTTCCTCCTGGAGAGGCCCTAACAACAAAGTGTGGTCTCCACCCAAATACTGCGGGGCGGGTCTTCATTGTAAGGTCACCTAGTTGCAGAGGCCATCTCATTCCCAGGTTTGTGAGGACTGAATGAGATAGCACAGGTGGGACACACCTGATGCTCACTAAATGCAGCTGTTACTTTTGTCAACACTCTTACATACCTTTTCCGCTAGCTCCCTCCTCCCTTTTCTTGGCTGTGCAATAAACATTGTAGATTTGTTGCCAGGGAGTTTGGGAGCAAATAGGTTTGGGGGTGTACTTTCCTGGATTATGATACCTCTGAGATGCCACGATCTTCTGGTTCTTTCTTCACTGGGGCTGCTGCGTCTGTTCCTAGCACTCCCCTGGAAAACTTCTGATGGGAAGGGCTAGGAGAGACTTCCCACCCTTTCTCTACCGTCACTTTGCAATCCTAGGAGAGTTGCAGCCCCGCCCTCCCAGGTTTGCAAAGGGAGGTAGGGGATTCTCCGGGGACTTACGTTGGAGTACGATTTAAACTGGAAGCTCTCAAGACATCTCAAAAACGCTGCTTCTGTATTTTTTTTCTTTAAGTAGAGATTGGAGAAGCTGGCAGTGGGTCAAAATATGGAACCAAATATGATTTGATTTTCTCACTAAATTTCTGGATGGGTGGAGGCACAGCGCTCCGTGTTGTGCGGTGGGGCGGGCTGTGTTTTCTTATTGATGAAATGCACTGCGCAGGTCAACTCCCTAAACCGAAAAGAGAAAAGCTGATTGCTAGCGTGGAGGGGGTGTGGTATTAGGGTACTGGTGCTTGTTTAGGGGGGCCGTGAGTGAACGTGCGAAAGGGAGAAGCATGCCAGAAGAGCGCGGGAAAGATTCCTGGGGAGGCAAGCGTGTGTCTATTTCCACAGCGCCCTGGCTCGCTGCAGCCCCCGGCTGGGCGAGGGGTGTGATGAGGGAGTGGGTGGGAGGGGGCAGCAGGCGGGGCCTGCCACGTCACTTGGAGAGTGTGTGTTGGGAAGGAAGGGCAGCGCCGAGAGCCCAGCCGCTGCAGCTGCGGCGGCTGCAGCCCAGGCTCCAGCGGTGGGGAGGTGGGTGCCCGCGCCCCGGCGCCCGGGCAGCCCCAGGGCCCTCTCCGAGGCCTGCGGCGCGACTCCCTGGGAGGCGGTGGCGGCGGTGGCGGCGGGAACGGCGACCTTGGCCAGACCGAGCCCGCGGTGGACGTAGGGCGGAGGCCGAGCCCCGCCAGGAGTCTTTGCCGAGCCAGAGGGAGGCGCATCTGGCGCTTTGGCACCAGCGGCAGCCGGGGGTCTCGAGCTGTTGGAGAAGCGCAGTGGGAGCCGGGAAGATCTAACCCGTCTGGAGGGCGGACCCCTGCGTCCCGGAGCCCAGGCTCAGGCACGGCGAGGGGCGAAGCCACACGTCTTTTCGGGGATCCAGTTCACACGCGCCAGTTTGCGGTTCCAGGTATCCCAGTGATCTCTAGCACCCAGACGCGGATAAGTGGAGGCGCGGAGCTAAATCCTCTGCGTCCGGGTCACCTCCCCAGACCTAGAGTTGCAGGTACCAGGGCTTCAGGGCTCACGGACCCAGTCTCCAGGTCAGACCGCGAGTTCAGAGGAGCGTGAGCCCCACCCTAAAAAGAGGGCGCAGCCGGCAGCTGAGAAGCGGTGCGGACTCCAGTGGTTGTGTGGTGGGCGCCGTCCCGGTGGCGGGGAGCGCACTGCGGAGGGGGCATGAGATCGGAGAAATCTCTGACGCTGGCGGCGCCGGGGGAGGTCCGCGGGCCGGAGGGGGAGCAACAGGATGCGGGAGACTTCCCGGAGGCCGGCGGGGGCGGGGGCTTGTGTAGTAGCGAGCGGCTGGTGATCAATATCTCCGGGCTGCGCTTTGAGACCCAACTGCGCACCCTGTCGCTCTTTCCCGACACGCTGCTGGGAGACCCGGGCCGCCGCGTCCGCTTCTTCGACCCCCTGAGGAACGAGTATTTCTTCGACCGCAACCGGCCCAGCTTCGACGCCATCCTCTACTACTACCAGTCGGGGGGCCGCCTGCGGAGGCCGGTCAACGTGCCCCTGGACATCTTCCTGGAGGAGATCCGCTTCTACCAACTGGGAGATGAGGCCCTGGCAGCCTTCCGGGAGGACGAGGGCTGCCTGCCCGAGGGTGGTGAGGACGAGAAGCCGCTGCCCTCCCAGCCCTTCCAGCGTCAGGTCTGGCTTCTCTTCGAGTACCCAGAGAGCTCGGGGCCCGCCAGGGGCATCGCCATCGTCTCCGTGTTGGTCATTCTCATCTCCATCGTCATCTTTTGCCTGGAGACCCTGCCCCAGTTCCGTGCAGATGGTCGAGGTGGAAGCAATGGTGGTGGTGTGAGCAGAGTCTCCCCGGTCTCCAGGGGGAGTCAGGAGGAAGAGGAGGAAGAAGACGATTCCTATGCCTTTCATCCTGGCATCACCCCTGGGGGAATGGTGCCAGGGGGCTCATCCTCACTAAGTACTTTTGGGGGCTCCTTCTTTACTGACCCCTTCTTTCTCGTGGAGACCCTGTGCATCGTTTGGTTCACTTTTGAGCTCCTGGTGCGCTTCTCTGCCTGCCCCAGCAAGCCAGCCTTCTTCCGCAACATCATGAACATCATTGACTTGGTGGCCATCTTCCCCTACTTCATCACGCTGGGCACTGAGCTGGTGCAGCAGCAGGAACAGCAGTCAGCCAGTGGAGGTGGTGGCCAGAATGGGCAGCAGGCCATGTCCCTGGCCATCCTCAGAGTGATCCGCCTGGTTCGGGTGTTCCGCATCTTCAAGCTCTCCCGCCACTCCAAGGGGCTGCAGATCCTGGGCAAGACCTTGCAGGCTTCCATGCGGGAGCTGGGCCTGCTCATCTTCTTCCTGTTCATCGGCGTCATCCTCTTCTCCAGTGCTGTCTACTTCGCAGAGGCTGATGATGATGATTCGCTCTTTCCCAGCATCCCGGATGCCTTCTGGTGGGCAGTAGTAACAATGACCACGGTGGGTTATGGGGACATGTACCCCATGACAGTGGGGGGCAAGATTGTGGGCTCGCTGTGTGCCATCGCTGGGGTCCTCACCATTGCCCTGCCTGTGCCCGTCATCGTCTCCAACTTCAACTACTTCTACCACCGGGAGACGGAGCAGGAGGAGCAGGGCCAATATACCCATGTCACTTGTGGGCAGCCCACACCAGACCTGAAGGCAGCTGACAATGGACTTGGCAAGCCTGAGTTCTCTGAGGGCCCCCGGGAACGGAGACCCAGCTACCTTCCCACTCCACATCGGGTATATGCAGAGAAAAGGATGCTCACTGAGGTTTGACCAATGCATAGGCAGGGCCTGCACGAGAAGGATGGCGCTGAGCAAACGATCTCTTAGGCTTCCTTCTCATTCTCCACTACTCTCACCCTAGGTCCAGCTGACTTCCTACTCCCTCTCCAACACCCAGTGGATGGCAGCCTGGACTGTCAACCTTGTTGCTTGTTCCCTGCAGCATTCAAGGTTTATCCATCTAAGTGACATTTTTGAAATTCTAACGGTGCCGCCCATCCATGCCCATCTTCTATTACATGGATGAGAGTTCCATCTGACCTTCCCTCAAGACTCTGATTTTTCATGTCTGGGACTTGTAGTATCTCTAGGAACAGAGATGTCAACAGGATAGAAACCAAGCTTACCTGGGTTCTGTTTCTCTCCTTAGCTTTGGGGCATGCACCTGTCTTACCTTCCAGCCGTGTGGTAACTAGCAGAAGCCAGAGGACAGAAATAATACTCATCCTGCCATTTTCCTCCAGTGCCCTGTAACACCTGCTGGTCATTTGGCAGAGGACCCTTTGTAGAGCCTTTAGCTGTGCAGCCTCAAAACACATTATTCATCTCTAATCTTGGATGGAATTAGAGAAACTACTATTAAACTTGGCCATTTGGAGGACATTAGAGTCAGCCCTGGACCAGAGGGGCCAGTGGGTTTTTCCAGGTGTGTTCTGGCACAGTAGACATCAGTTTTTGGTCTGTGTTTAGTCCTCCCCACTATGATCCCCTGATCTCTAGCTTCCAGGAAGGTTCCTCCTCAGAACCAAATACTCTCTTTGTGCAGGTGCCTTCTTGTGCAGAGGAACTGGAAAAGGGGAACCACAGAGCCCATAGAAATGGCTGAATAGAGTCAAGCACTTGGCTTGACTGCATTTGTGAAGAGAGGTACCACTTAGACATTGTCATCTCGAAGGGGCAGAGGAATTTTGTTGCAGAAGGCAAATCTCTCTCCCTCGCTCCCCTCCCCCTCTGCAGCCCTCCACGCTGCTTCCTGGGAGTCTGACTTAGGCCTGCAGTTGAAGGCTTTCCAAAGCAAACTCCAGCTGAAGCCCGCAGACAAGTAAGAGCACACACTGAATGCAGTGTGGGTCTCTGCCCATTTTATGGGCAATGAGGTAGGTGGTTAGAGTGGGGAAGAAGCATTACTCCTGTGCTCCCAGCCTCGCTATGAGAGGTGTTTGTGCTGAGTCAAACAAACATTGGCCTGCTCTGTCCCTTGGAGCTGCAGCCGACCTGCTCTCTCTGGTAAGATAATGTGGTGGTACCAGCGGGACGAAGCCATCCTCTTCCCTTGTGAAGCCGCTGCCTTCCATCCACCTGCCCGCTTCCCCTCATTTCTCTCCTAGTACCATTGTCGTTAGTTTATTGCCTTGATAAACCGTGCTGTACTGTTCTGAGCTCTTCCGGGTGCAGTTCAGAAACCGAAAGGACTGTTAACATGTTTTTCATTTTATATCTATGCTTCAAGACTCTTTGATGAGAATTCTTTTTAAAAAATTATTTTCTCGAGCAACTTATGAGGGATGGCCTTTTGAGAGTTTTCTTGAGAGACTCTGTGGCTCCTGTGAGTGCCGGATCTAAATCTGGATTTTGCCACAGTTTTACAGGGTAACTTTGGTGCCACGGTTCCTCCTTGTGCCTCAGTTTTCTCGCCCATTAAATGGGAACATTATTGTCTTCCCCTCCCTACTTCATGGGGAATGTCAAATTCACCTGGGAAGCTGGGAATGATGCTATGCAAATGTGTGAATTTTAGTAACAGACTTGACTTTGAGTTCATTATCCTTTTTCCCCTTTTCCCATAGGCAAGGCCTCTCCCAGAGTTCCTTCTCTGGCTCCAAAGTCCAAGAATAGGCCATTAGCTCCTTAAATCCCTCCTTAGCTTCTTGAACTGGGCCTCACTCTTTCTTCTTACCCTTCAGCAAGGAGGATACACTTTAGACCGGTTTAGTGGGTCCTTCCAGGGCCAGAGGCCACCTTGATTAGGAGCTTGGCTTCTCCGTGCCCAACCTGAAATACAGTAGGAGATAGAAGAGTTCATAATTCCCAACCTGCTCTGAAGCCATAAAGTGCTGGTTTTCCAAATCTCTTCGATTACTTCTGGCTATTTGGGGAAAGGATGGGCCCGCTCCAGAGGGAAGGGGATGCTCCCCGCTGAGGTAACTGTTGGAACATGTGTGCATGTATCTCTGCGTATGTGTGTGCGCTCATCCTCCTCAGCATCCCGAATCAAACATTGCCTTTTCAAGTCAGAGCACGCCTGAGAGGAAAGGGTTTGTGGAAAGCGGAGCTCTCCAGGGACTCTGGTTGCCATAGCAACCTTCCAGACTGTTCTCTCTTTCTTCTGATTTGGGCAGCAAGGGAGAACAGGAGACTACATAGCCCCAGCTTCTGAAATGGGAACACCTCCCGCATATTGGTTTAGGGACTGGTAGTGACAGGACAGGGATGTGTGACCTTTGGAAAATGACAGGGTAGCAGGTCCCCAAAACTTCCTCCCTGCACTTTTCTTCCTGATTTCCCCACCCACTCATTGAAGCTGCCTCATCTCACCCCTGATTCTTCAGAAACTTGAATGCTAAGCAACTGCCAGTTAAACCAATGTCAATATTACCCTTTTCAAAATGACAAGGGGAGCCTTGGAGGGGACATGCTCCTGGAGAGGCAGCCGGCTGGGTCTCGCCGAGAATCATAATAGTTTCAGTCCATAGTGTCATGTTGTTCTCAACTCCTCAGAGACAGTCTCCACCCAGCTCTAAGAGAGATGGAGACAAATGATGCTCCTTTCTCCAGAGAGTCCAGCTCTGTTCCTAGGAATCTCATAGGTGGCTCTTAAGATGTTGAAGAAAAACTGAGAGGCTGTGACCTGACCTAGTTTCTGGGAAGGATTTTTCCAAGTGATCCTCCTCCGACTCTGAGCCTCTTCATGTGGATTTTGTGTCCTGAGCACCAAAAGCATGTTCAGCCTCTGTGCCGCGACAGCTGGAGCGGTGATTTCACAGCTGCCAGCGCAGGCAGGCCGCAGGCCATCGCTGCACCTGACTCCAGCCGGCAGGAGCTCCCAAAGGTCTTCCTGGATCTGTCAGCTTGGCTGAGATGGGGGATTGTCCTCCTGCCTGATCGTCCCCAAAGAGAGAGAGGGACAGCTGGCCATCTTTGCATCTGAGGTAGGTCCTGCTGTTGGGGAATTTCGCTCCAAGCTCAGTCCTTGGAGCCAAATTAGCACTCGGGGTGGGGAGGGGTGGAGAGAGGGTGGGCGAGCGTGCGCCGGGGGACAGCAAGGTTTTGATTTCTCTTTCCGCAGCAGCCACCTCGCTCTCTTCCTGTGATGTTTTTTGACTCCATCTACTTTTGTCTCCTCCTTCTCCAGGTCTGTGCGCTCACTGCTGCCTCCTCCCACCCTTTCTAATTGGCTCCTTTTCTCTGCATTTTCCTCGTTCTTTCTATTCATTCTCACTTTCTCTGCATTTTTTCTTCTTCTCACATTCCTGTTTTTTGCCCTTCTGTTGTTTTAACTTCTTCTTCCTTCTATGTGTCTCTTTCTATCCTTCGCCCTCTCTCCTCCTTCTAGCAGCTGGGAGCACCTGCAGCGTTTCCATTGCGATCACACTCTGAGCTCTAGGATGGCTGGGATCTGGGGAGTTTGCTAGGAAGGCTATTCCCTGGCTAGAGATCTCCCTTTGCCCCCCTGCCAGCTCAGCAGAGCATCCTTTCCTACCATGCTCGCCTCGGGGGATGTCCTGAACTCATGAGGCAAGATGAGATTGCTGTGTGTTTAGAAAAATGTCTTCTGGAAATCTCCTGAACCTGCAAGGATAGGAGGGAGAGAGAGAGAGGACCCCATAATCAGATCAGTACTCTGCTGTACAGCACTGGAATATGTCCTCCTCGGGGTCCCCCAACCTCAGGAAGCTTGCAGAGAGGTTCAAGACAAAGGATCAGTAGAAATAGTAGGATAAACACAGAAAAGAGGACTTAGGAGGAAGGCATAAGAGTGGAATTAGTCTGGAAAATGCCTGAACTCAGAAGTGGCCTTCTGCTGGCCCTTAATTCACTGGAAGGTTCTCGTAGCATCCAGCTGTTATGCCCTGATGGCAGGACAAAAGCAAAGGACATCAATCCCAGTGGTACAAGGTGCAGGGGACACTGCTTGACAAGTAAGATTCACCATCCGGTCCATAAGAAGAGCTCTGCACTCTCCTTGCTGGAGGTCGCAGAGCATAGGGTGGGTCCCCCTGCATTAGGACATCGGGATGGCCCAGGGAGCCCGGGTCAGGGGAGGTGGAAGGGGAGTGGGGGCTGGGGGGGGGTGGGGAGAAGATTGTGCTATTAGAACAGGCACTAGGGGCTTTTGGAGGGTGTGGAGGTTTTCTAGAATGGGATTGTGGTGATAATTGTACAATTCTGTAAATTAACCAAAAAAAGTCATTGAATTGTGAAAGAAAGGTGACACGAGGCTAATAACCAGGGAGTTTCACATCTTGGCCAGGAGAATGGTTTGGTTTTATAAATCTAAAAGTTTAGCATCTGTAAAGATGGCTTGCCTGAACATCAGGATGGAATGACAGTGTTCTTCTTCTGCCACATGGGGACACTTTTGAGCTTCCATTTAGCTCCTCCTTGCTACTCATGTACAGTGCCAAGAGCTGTTTTTCTTTTTTGTTTTAATTTTGACAATCAGACCATTGTGGGATGTACATGCTTGTTTCTTGTTGCTCTAAAGATAGGTCACGCCGTTTTTGGTAAGTGCAGAGCGTGACTGGCACGTGCTGAACTAGGACGAGTGTGTTAGACGTTATTCATTACACAGGACTAGGGCAGTGAACTTGCCCCATAAACAAAAACAAAAACCCCACAAACAAACCAAAACCACCCTCTAATCTCCACACCTCTAAACTCACAATTCCGTCAGAAATTGCCCAGGAGTCCCTGTTTTGTTCTCCTGAGCTTTCCCCGACCCGCTCCCTGCAGTGGTCATTAACCCTCTACGGCCGCTGATGGTGCCCAGCGGTCTTCGGCGCTTTGGTCAACAGAGGGGGTGACATCACATCACCGTCGCTCCAAAGGAGACTTTGTTCTCCTCCTGCTCTTACTCACCTTTCTCTCACTGATCCCTTCCTTCTTTCCCTCTGGTGCATTTCCTCACATGACATCTTCTGGTCCTGCTGCTCGTCTTTCCTGCTCTGCACTGGCTGAGCCCTTGCCTTTGGCAGTATTTCTGTCCCCGGCGTCTCTCCACAAATGCCACGATAGATTCCTAGAGAATATTACCCTCCTGGGACAAGCTGGCTGGAACTGGCGTCCCGGCTCTGAGTGGTTTTGACTGTGCATTATTGCCCTGGGAAGCAAAGTGGGGTCTAATTCCAGCTCGTTAAGGTCACTTAGGGAAGGAAAAGAAATCCGTTCTTTAAACTGTAGGATTTCCTCTCTCCATCCCACTTTCTACCGGCTGCCTTGGGTTGTGCAGATAGCCCATGGCGGAATAAGGCCTGGAGCTTGGGGCTTTAGATGGAGAGGGAGCTTCCTAGATGCAGGCCACTGGGAATGACGACAGATGGTCCCTTAGTTCTCACGTTACTGTGTCTCCTGTGAACCACTTTCCTGTTCTGGCTTGAGGTCCCTGTGGGGTTGGAGATTGCCATGTCTTTCATGTCCCTTTGCTCTGAACTCCTGGAGAAAGGAGTTGACCCTGCCTCTTTGTCCCTTCTTGGTCCCCATCCCCTTGGTACCCTAAAAAGGGAGTGGAAACCTATTGGTGACCCCTTCTGAAGGGTTATCCAAGCATGAGAGTGACTCCCTCCTTCCCAGAACAAAAAAGAAAAGGGGCTGACACTACAGTAAATGTCGTTAATACTGGTCTCACCTTGGCTATCACTAAACCTTTTTGGGGCTTAGCCCTGGTTGAATTTATGACGATTTTTTTTAAACACAACTCTGACCTCATCACTGTTACTGTGAAGAGGATTTTTCCTTCGTCTGTCATGGGCCCAGCAGATACTCTTTGCCTGCCCCTAGCAAACATCTTGGAACCTTAAGCAACCTTCGCAGCAGGCTGCAGGGAGCACAGACAGACCCCGGCTCTTTGGCGAGAGCAAAGCCGACATTTCAAAAGGAAATTGCAGCCACGCAGTCTGCTGGCGCTGCTATTTTTGACATGCTTGCTATTCTCTCAGGGCTTGACAACCGCTGTCTCCAGGAGACAGACAAACCCGCTCTTGGCAGCAGAGACACTGTGCTTTTGCAAAGGAGCATAGGAAGACAGCCCTGCGGCTGGGAAGGGCCGGGAGGACGTGCCATTGCCTCCCTCTCCTCCACGAAGCCCTGCACCTGGCCAGTGGGGACCGTAGACCCAAGGCTGGAGGCGCCGTCCTTGCTGGGTGAATCCTTCTGTGCTTTCGTCCTCCCAGTGGGCGTAGTCCCAACAGGAATGAGAATGGCACCATTCATTTAAAATGCATTCAAAACGCATTTGGTGCTTTCAGACATCATGTCATAAAATAAAGAGGTCAGGAGCATGGACTCTGGTGCCAGATTTTCTGGATTCAAATCCCACCTCTGCCACTTACCTGTTGGGTGACATTGAACAAGTTCTGAAACCACCCTTTGCCTCAGTTTCCTTCCCTGTCAAGTGAGAGAGTAATAATAGTACCAATCTCATAGAGCTTTTTTGAGGATTAAATGAGTTAATACATGTATGATGTGGATGGAGCGTGTAACACTATGTATTAAATGTGAGCACTATACAAAGATCAGCTGTCATCATCAGTATTATCCTACAGCACCCAGATAAGGCAGGCGGGCTCGGCATTACTTTCCTCTTTGGCAGATAAGACAGTTGAGGCTCAGAGGGGATGTGATATGTTCAAGGACACACAGCTAATGTGTGTCCTGTTGTCCTCAGGGGAGATGGAACAGAACAGAACACAGTGAGGGTCTGATTGGTACTAAGCAAGGAGAGAGAAGGAATTTATGGCTCCTAAATGTGTATATAGGCTTTTATTTACATGCCAGTTTCTCTCTTTGATGGAAAACCAGCACGCGCCTTGCACTTTTTTCTCTCTGGGGCTCTGAATGCACTCAGCTCTATGTATATATCTTTCTACACAGCTCTTCCTTACTCCATCACTATTCTCCTCCCCTCACATTCTAAGGGTCTCGGGCTTGGCATCCACTAGAGCCTTCCTCACACACTCCCTTGTATCTTTCTCCTTGGGACAAATGCAGGGTCTCACAGTTAGCCCTGGGGACAGAACCCATAAGCTGGACCCCGGCTCAGACTTTTTGCACACTGTTACAGCGGCTTCAAAATCTCACCTCCCCTGGTCCTCGTCTTCAGCATCCACTTCTTTCCCTGGCGCCTTCAGGTCTGCCGCACCCACCCCTCACTTTCCAGGTGGGCGTACCCTGTAACACTCCTTGGGTGTGTCACAGCTTCCCCTTCCTCCTTTCAGGTGAAGACAGGAGACCTGGAGTCGGAAGAAGCCGGCTCCCACTACTGTTGGTATCCTTTTGCTTCCATGTGACTAGGGAGCAGCTACCCCAGCTCTCACTGGGTCCCCACTCAGGCCTGGATGCTCTGTGCACCCTCAGCTCATTCGCATAGCTGCTGCGGCTTCCCAGAGACCTCGCCTGGTCCTCGCCCTCGCGATGGCACTGCCCTCCCCGTCTGAACGCAGAGCTGTTGCTCGCCTTAGGAGTTAGAGAGCTTGGGCCGGAATGGCTGTGTACCAGCTGCACCTCATTTAACCTCTCCAAGCTTCAGCTTTCTCATCTGCGGAATAAGGAAGCTGAGTCCACTGGCCTCATGTGGGTGTCCTGAGGCTCAGCCGAGGCTGCAAGTTAGTGTTTAGCAGGAAATAAGCTCTTTGCAGGTAGCCAGCTGGGGGCCTCAGTGACAGTGAACAGCCAGTTGAGGGGGGGGGTGCGGTGGACCACCTGCACTCTCAAACAGAGGCAGGGTCCCTGCAGACTTCAGTTTTCTTCTCTGAAAAAAACATTTAAATGAATACAACATAAAAAATAGACTCAGAGTAGCTGCTGTTTTACCAGAAGCCCCTTTGCCTAAAGGATTCTCAGCAGAATCTCCTTAAATAATTACACTTGAGATGTGATTTAATATATGGAAACGTAATCTGAATATATCTTGTAAGCATAGGATGGAGATACC